GTTTTTTGAAAGCTGATGGTAGGCCCCCGGTCTAAAGCATGGTGTAAATTAATGTATAATGGATAAGAGATTTTTAATTATCTCGAAGCCTTATTGTAACAAACGACATTTTCAATCATTGAACAGCTGATGCAGACCTGTATTAGAAGTCAAATATTGTCAGTATTTTAATGGCTCTGGAACAATACTAGTTTAGTTACGAATTTCGCGAGTTAATTAAAAAATAAGTCGAAAGGAGTTCGGCCAAGGAAGTATACCGTTCCTATTTCTTCCACCAGGTACTAATCAATTTTATGCCTCAGGATGGCACGTGTTGGTTACCATCAGACACGCAACTTCATTCGTTCATCCTGTTACTTATTATATTAAAATATCAGATTTTATAAATATCTATGTCGGTCAAGCATTAGATAGATGGCTTTTGTTCCTGCCCCGCAAATATAGTATACGTTTTGAATGATTGTAAAAGTCAATTATGACCGTAGATCTTACGAAATATTATACAGTAGAAAATTTGAAATTAATATTTGAAATATATGTATTAGACGTCTGTTTTGACATTTCGAGTGTTTGAAACTGAATTTATTTCAATGTTTTGATTTCAAAATTATTGAATGAAATGTTGCCTGATAAAAACTTGTTTCCGTGACCGAACGGTTGCCATACTGCTCTGCCACGAAGAGGTCCCGGGTTCGATTCCCGTCTCGGGGCAAATATTTGTTTATATATGTACATATATTGTGGTTGTCGGTGTGTGTGTCCATGGCACCCGGGACACAGGGTTTCCTTATTGGGGCTATGAGTGAGTGCAAAAAAAGACTCAAAATTTCCTTCTGTTTAATGATAAAAAAAGCATACTGTATTATCTATCTATATCTATATGTCTATTCCTGCTAGTATATATATATATATACACCCAGTCTCTATCAGCGCAAAACTTAGACAACATACAAGAAGCACTTAAATTTGGAATGATGAATTGAAAAAAACTCCGAATCGTGCGGCACAAAAATTAACTAATGACGTCAGGTAGTCTTAATTGAATGAATAACATACGTTTATTTTAGAAATTACGTATGTAAATCGACATTTTGAGTGTTTGATACAATGTAAATGTAATGATTCTTCAAAGTTTGCATCATACGAATTTATTAGCTTACCTTACTGTCTACTTAAGCTGTTAACAGGCTTCAGTAGGCTAATAAGAAACTCTAGACGAAAAGCAAAATTATAAGAAGGTGATACAGTATACTTTTAAACGAAAAACTGATACGAAATGAATGCTGCTGGAATACCTGGAACCGACAGCGCTGATGTCTATAAAAACTAGTGAAGGGTGCAAAGCGTTGACATTATTTTCTTCAACTAATAACACGAACATTGATTTTAAAAAGTAAATATTGGCGTCATTGCATGGTCATGGGAAAGACGAAAGATATCAGAGCCAACGTGGAAGACACATTGTTCAAATTTGTTAAAATATGTTAACATTTTATAAGTATTATTATTATTATTTTTAATGAATTTAATGCATGTATTGGTATTGTTTGATACATCGACTCATCCGAAGAACAGAGTCCGATGTGGTTAAATAGCGAAAAGTGGATAAGTAAGGGTGTTTTGAGTATTTATATATCTTATTTCGTTTCGGAAATATAAAATCGAACAACAGTCAATCTGACATCCACAGCGACGAAGAACGAACGAAATGTACTGTGGTCCTGAGAACAAGTAGTCTTGCACATAGATTTTTGTTCTACGGATGAGTCGATATGTATTTTGTTGGTGTAAATTTATTAATCTATTATAAAAAATTCCCCTAATTCTAAAAATTTGGTATGCCCTTACGTCACATGACATTTACAATAATCTACCAACTTTTTTTAAATTTATTCAATTTCAAACAAGTTTTATAAAAAACGATGATACTTAAATTATATTTGTATGCTTTAACATGCAAATAAACTATTTGACTTTGACATTGGAAGAGGACGACCACAAAGGACATTTTTGGATAAAATAAAAAATGTAGTGATTTTTTTTTTCGCAAACATCGATTTTCTTTCGAATTTTGTTTTTTGTTTTTTATTTATTTTTTTCACAAAATTCGGGTAGATAATAATATATTAGTAAATAAATATGGCTGTTTAAAAAATATTAGAAAATGAGCAAAATACAAAGTTGGTCCGAACATGAGACACTCCATAAGAGAGTTGCACACATAACATAGACAAATGTGATTTGATCACTGATTAAAAAAAGCTTGTCAGACAATCCGGTGCAAGATTTTTGGCAAATAAGCTACTTTGTCATGTCGTTACTTAAACCCCACCGATTTCAATAAAGAAAACGTTTTATACTCTGCCTCTGCGATGCCATAAAAAAAACACAAAATATTCAAAACTAAAAACAACATTCTTAATTATCGAGTTCTTAGGTTTTCGCGATTGTTACACATAGAAAATGAAACTAGTTTTCCGGATTTAAATCGCGTATATTTGTTTTTTCAAACAAACCGACGTTTTGGGCTTAATTGCTTCTTAATTGCTAAATCCAGTTTTAAAAGCAATGACAAATGACATAAGATCGTGGCCAGTTTCTACAAATGTAAAAACCATAATATAATAAATTACCAGTAATATCGCGTAGCGATACTCCTTATAAATAATAGTATTTTATGCAATCGTTGTATAGGGTTCTTAAAGTCGAGTACGTAAGTAATAGGTTCGAGATTTTAAGGCATAATTATGTAATGATTGCATACAATTTCTACGAATAAATATTATAAACTACTTTCAAGAACATAACCTAACCTCCGGTTAAAAAAAACCGACCTCAAAAGTCATTCATTCCTAGTTTACCACCCTTAGAGGTGGAATATTTCTTTCAAATTTAAATGGAACCACTTCTGCGGTACCCTCTCCAACAAAAAAGAATCATCAAAATCCATTCACAAATGGCGGAGTTATCGCGTAACATACCTACAAAAAAAACATAGACGAATCGACAACCTCCTCCTTTTTCTTAAAGTCGGTTAAAAAAGAGAAAGAATGTTAGATTTCTGTTAATTGTTTCCATCGAGTAGATATCTTTATTTTAACTGTAATTTTCCAATAGTTTTGTATTATCAGTGGCGTTGAAACAGATGTCTAAATATAGAGCGTACGTATACCTATAAATTCACCATTAACTATATGCGACAAACAGTGAAAACTGTAGATAATTAATATGTATAGGTCTGCGAATTATTTATAAAAAGTTTAAATTAAAAACCAAAAACAATGATCTGCAACAAGCGTATAGGAAAATTTGTAAGATCTGCTGGTTCTTTCGTAGCTCAATTGGGAGAGCGCCATACACGGTATGGTGAAGGCACTGGTTCTAACCAGTCGGACCGAAAATTTTTTCTTAGTGTTCGATCTTTGTATTAATAATTACAAAAAAATATTTTTACTTTATTAACCGATTTAATAGAACAAATTTTAGTGTGAATTTAAAGAATGACCTTGATTTTTTTATCACCAAATATTTGTCTGCAAAATAAGGAAAACTTCAAAAAAAAATTACAATTTTCATACATGTGTATGTTAGTTTCAATTGTACTGTTAGTTGATTATATAAACAATACATAAACGTGGTATACTATATAACATGATTCTAGGTCTTTGCCGTAATGTTTTCAATTTTAATTCAGAACTAAAAAGAGCGCCTTTATGATATGGTTTATGAAATTATAATTAACAGATTAAAATACTGGAGTAGAAAAATACAACTACACACAATACAGCCCCCATAACTAACAATAGCTTGCCACCGCGACAAAACTGTTATAAGGCCATATTTATGGCCATACTGTCAAAGAACCGATATTTTAAAATTTTATCACAATAGCTAACATGGCTCATATTTGTCGCATCTCGCGCCCCGTAACCAACGTCAGCGAAAGAATATCGCAGTGCCAAAGATGGCCACGACTGATTTTAAAACATTTTGACAGTTCTGCACAGTAATTTTATCAACGTAAAAATTAAGCGCGACAAACGAGGTAAAAAGGAATAATAAAAACAAACAAATTATCATATATATTATTGGAAAATATTTTAATTTTAATACAATTTAAACATGAGAGTGATTAGAAATACGAAATTATAAGAATATAATGTAAAACAAGTAAAAATTTAAACTAAAAAAAAACAATTTTTTTTTCGTCATTTTGGCGGCGATGACTAAGCAACAAAGATAACTATATACTCAAATGCATACCGTTATCCTTGTTCTTCAAAGTGTATAACAATAGTTAATTACCAAATAAACAAAAGACGAATGACTCTAGTGCGGTATCTTACCGATTCGCGATACAAAAAAACAACTTTTTAAAAATGGCAACATAGCTTTATCAACTGAAATAAATATATCACGGGGATTTATCAGATATTGCATGTGTACTGCCATGCTATGGCCGCAGATCACTAATAAAATTTGGAATAATTTTGTCAAGGCAGACCTGACGTATTTGTACCGTCATGCACTGAAAACCCAGTCTAAAGCTTGTGTGTGAAGTTTGACTCAATATATGACAAGCGTACGAATATTATTACCTCCTTTTTTATCTTTGTAACCACCCTAATATCTTCTATATCTTTAAAATGTTCTTCCGTATACGAAAAGTTATACATCACCTGACTAGTAAAGATTAGGTCAGGTGATATTAGATGAAGCGGCCATAACACATGAAAATCATTTATCTCAATTTTATCTACTTTTCATAACCTATCTGTAGGTTATTTGGGAATCTATACAATAAATAATATCCTCATGATTTTCTTATCGTCCAACTTATCATGGTAATATGAGTGACAAGCAAAAGATCGTCTGTGGAAGATTGGATTGCAGGTCCATATTCCTACTAGTAGAAAAGTTTTTGTTGGTATGTATTCTGATCTGCAATCTGTTGCTGTGTGTTGCTGTGCCTACCTTATTCAATATAATTAAATACTCACAGAAGCTAACACGGAATCAAAAATAGCGCCCCAAGTAAAAGCAGCAACGAGGGCGGCCACGGCTAGCATCGTGGCAACGGCCCCCACAATGCAGCGCCATCGTGGCATACGCCCGCGCATACCGCCTCCGCACCACGCTTTCAGCTTTCTGCAACAAAAGAAGCAATAACTGAAATCCCTTCAAGACACTTGTGGTAGCTCCCAAGAAGAACAGTTAACGGTTCACTGTATCACCGGTTGAACAGTGTCACATATCGAAAATTATGTACGGTTTTCCTTTTCTCTTTTCCCCGCAGATATCAAGTCAGGCCTTGTACATTCGGTCTCCGTCTGACATCCGCCCAAAACAATTACTATCAAATAAGTAACCATCGACCAAATTAAAAGAAGCATGATTCGAATGAAGCTTCATACTTGACATTGGCTTTTAATAGGTCGAGTATCACTTATTTGGATGAAGAACGAGAGCAGACTCCCTGGTGCGCGACCAATGTAGTGTCGACATCCGAATAATAATTTAGAGTCATCTCGAAACTCCTAAATCTCGTACAACAGATTCGCCTTACAGAACCACTTCTTTAAGAGAATAATTAAATAAAACATGTTGCATGTATTGAATAATACATTAGCACCTTGAGGGATTAAGATCCAGGTCGTGGGCGCTTCAAACTTATACAAATCAAACTAACAGGCCACCGCTTTGTCTCGTGTCTTCATATGGGAAATTTTTTATGTCATCCACAAAGCAAAGTTAATTTCTAGACCTCATTTTGCCACGTACTCCATATGGTACATCTGAACCTTTACTTCGGTGGTTTAAGTCATATTTGACTGACCGATCTCTGTTCGTGGTCGTCAATGGTTGTCGTTCTTCCATGCAAAATGTAACCGCGGGAGTACCTCAAGGTTCCAATCTGGGACCTGTACTATATCATATTTTTATACGACATTCCACAGTGCTCTATTCGTTCTACACCACCGTTTATATTTATTTGCTGATATGAATAATTGAATCTGAGCGTGACGTATGTATCTCCTGCAATCTGACCTTGCTAAATTGTCTAAATGGTGTATCGGTAATAAGATGCGCTTAAATATTAAGAAGTATTTATATATAAGGTTTTCAGGAGGATGAGCAATATTCCCTCAAAGTATATCTGAAATGCCACTGAATGAGGTCGACAATGTTCGTGACCTAGGAGTCCACTTGGACCGCAAGCTTACATTTAGGGAGCTTATGGATGCAGTTATTAGGAAGGTCTCAGGAATGTTAGGTTTTGTGTTGAGATTTGGGGTTCGCAGGTGCCCTACAAAAATATTATTATGCAATGCTCTGGTTCGTAGCCTCCTGGTTGACTGCAGTCGTGTAGTGGCCACGTTTTGCTAAACACTCACTGCGTATTGAGAGAGTGCAAAACGTTTTGTTTGGCATACTCTGTGGCTAAGTGAGGGCGGCGGCATGCGTATACGGATCGACTTAGTACATGAAACATGGATTCTCGAACCAGGCAAAGGGATATTCGTGATATTATCTACCTGTATAAATTGAGTCAATATTTCACAGACAGATAAAAAATATTGACAAATTGAGAACCTCCTCGTTTTTTGAAGTAAGTTAATAAAATTTACTATATATCACTGCGTTTATATTACTGACCGACTCATTCAATGTGATATTATTAAAAAACATGTCACATCCAGTTTAGTCTGTTCAAGTGCGTGTGTGTAAATATAATGAATATACCTTCAATTTGTTTGTTTATCAAAACTGTACTTATTTTGTTATATTATGACAACTTCTTTAGAACCTGTGGATTTATAAATAAATAAATTATAAAATAAGTGTAAGATACCGTTGTTTAATATGCATGATAACTTGATAACGCACCGGGGTCAGAAATCAACAAACATGCCTCTAAACATGCGCATGCGCGTGTTTATCCGTTTACTCGATAAATATATTATGTTCGTTAGAGTCGCTAAGCGACAACTGAGATATGACAGTTATTGTTCTATAGTAAATTAGATTTTATAACAAAATTTTCGATTAAAATAAACACGAGTGGTTACGTTATCACATTTGAAACAACTGGCACTTATCCGTCGTAAGATTTAACTCACAGTTCACAAAACGTATTGTACTATAATGAGGCTATTTTGGACTTTACGGATGCCATGGACACACCTATTTCTGCCGCCAAGCAGTAATGTCAGCAATACTGTGTTCCGATTTTGAAGGGTAAGGGTGCTGGTGAAATTACAGGCACATGGGACTTGCCAAGTGACAGACGCAGTGGCAGTGCCCTTCAGATCATTGCGATATGAAGCTCAGGCACTGTTATGTTCAAGCACAAATTACACCCAAACTCACGAGAGAAATAAATGTAGGCCATACAAATATTTTTCCCGACAAGGGAATCGAACCCGGGACCTCTTGCGTGGTAGTCCAGCATGGTAACCGTTCGGCCACGGAGGCAGTTATAACAATTTCGTGTTGTATGCTGTGACGTAGGTTTAGGTATAATTCATTGTCGTGAAAATTGTACACTTTGTAAGCGACGGTCAAGTTTCCCTGAGTTTCGCTTTTCAGGCGAGTCACCAGAGGTGAAACGGAAAAAACTGTTTTACATTTTTTTTCCATTTCATTTCTTTGTACATCAAATGCTTTAGATATGTACTAAAATAACGTACTTACAAAAAATATACGATACACCTAAGGATATTGTCCAGAGAACTTGCTAAGTTGTTACTCGATAGGATGTACTTTATCTAATCATATAAAATCCTGCAAACAAATTGTTTAATAATCAAGTTTCTAACTCTAAATATAATTTTTATATGGAAATATTTCTCTTTAAGTACTAAAGAGAACCTGCTAAATTTTAGTTTTCAACTGAAGCCCTGTTAGTTATTAATATCACATTTATCTCAACCTGATGAGTTGCCAAGAATGGATGGCCCTTATTTCATCTCTATTTCTGATTATATATTCGATGACTTGATGTAAATTCTGCTCTTCAATGGCACGTCGATAACGTAGTCTACTACGTCGATAATGTAGTCATAATTTGAAGACTAAATTGCTGTTTAAACGAGATAAAAATTATGACATGCCTGTTACCATGATAGTTTTAGTAAGGCAACATTGATCGTCTTTGATTTGATTGAATGAAAATGAATGAACGCCATTACTGCCATTTCACTGACACTGTATTGAGACTCAACTGCCGTTGCTTTTAGATATAGCGTAATAACAGTGGCTTCAAAGGAACTACAATGACCATTTCAGGAAAATTAGCAAAATTGGGACCCTGTTCATCCATTTTGGAGGTACGATACCAAAGTCTTCTTACTAACTCCCTACTACCTCTAACTTACGCTCTTGTTTTTGCGTTGAGGTCAATGGGGCGTATGTTGTTGGAACGCCAAAATAAATGTGCGAAATCGTTACAAAAGTATAAGTATATAATTTTTATTATATGGAGATACTTCTCTTTAAGTACTACAGAGAACCTGCTAAATTTAGGTTTTCAACTGAAGCCCTATTAGTAATTAAATGTACATTTATAACAACATTTAACATTCCCAATCGGTTTAACGGCACAACGGCTTGTCAACCTTGGACCTATTTCTCCGCCTGTTCTTATTTTACCTCCTAAAACCTAGGCTCGCATTGAAATACCACCTTCATCTAGTCATACACTCTTGCATAACTTATCAAATAATTCAATTGCCTAGAGTGCCATTGTTCCATGGCCGTGGTCCCTTGGGAAACTTTGAAGTAGAACGTCCTTGTGAATTGTGATACATGATCTAGGATCGACGTGGTTACTTAGTATATTAATTTCATTAGGATATTGTGTGGTCGAGCAGTGATAGCCCTGTGGCTTTTAAACAGAAGGTTGCGTGTTATATAATCAAATATTAGTAAGGTCACAAAATATCTAATTTGTATTACATTTATTAAGCACAAGTACTTTAAGAGGTACAGTAGCGGGAAAGATTGGTTACTAATCGGAAATGTCGCTTTTTGCAAATTTAAACTTATTTTCATAAACTTTAAAGGCCATTATCCAAAAGTAAATTACCTTTACTGTACTTTTTATGACTTTATTGATTTTAACGTGCGGTATAAAGATTAATATATGTATACAAAGTTTAAAACGAAAAGCAAACAAAGTTCTAAAAAGGCATTATGACTAGTGTTGGAACGAACAGTATTCTCGGCCTTAGGCCAAATACCGAATATCCGGTCTCACAATTTGGTCTAATTAACGCTAGAACGAAAATAAACACGAAAAAAATACCACTTAACAATTAACTTCAGTTATGATAAAATAATTTTGTACAATAAAACAAAAAATGTAATTAAATTTGCAACTTTATAATTTAATTTTCTTATTTTAATTAAATTTCAAGTTCAGTTTGATTAATTTTCAAATTTTATTTTGGCATGCAAATAATAAGTACTTGATTTTATTAGCTTTTATTGAAGTAGTCATGATTAAACTACATATTAAATAGGTAGTTTTCATTTGATTTGTTTGCTTTTTAAATCTCTACGTTTCCTTTTATCGTTTAGGTAAAGCTTAATTAATAAAAATTACATTATAATTTATTGAGTTTTTTCTTATTTCTTCTTTCTGTATTTAGGTATTCAGCCGAATACCAACAAACAGGCCGAATATTCCAAAGATTCGTACATAACACCAAAGATTCGCACGAAGCTTTTCGTTTTCACATTTATATGGCAAACGGCGAAGGAGTGAATTTCCCTGCAAACTTGTTCCCCGAACGCTATAACTTAGGCCTTTTCAAGACGAGAGTGAATAGGCATTATTTAAGTGTGCATGCTACATCGTCGACCACATCGGCGCTCTCCATCAGGTGCGTTGGAGGTCAAATGCGCATTTATTTTCTTTTGTTTGAAAAAAGCCGAATAGTAACCGAATATTCGTCGCAACTCTAGTTGATGCCGTCTAATGTAAAACAATTGTGCATCAAAGTAAGGAAAATACGTGATATCTGTCAAACTTAGCCCTTTATTTGTTTAACTATACTTATATTTAACTTAGGAACAAATGTTTGTAAAACTAATGGGTCGTAAATAACTACATGAGTAATTATTTGTTATCGAGACTATGTTTC